GATGGACACCAGCGGTAAAGGAGGCTGTCAGGCTGAAGAAGGTCTTTCTGGCTTAGTTGGCCCTGAAGTAGCAGACAGGTATTGGTTTGCCAGAAGGGCTGCGGCTGTCATAGTTTTATGGACAGGTGTGAAGTCACTACCGCAGAAACTTAGGCCCCGTTTACACGACAACAATTTCAACTGAAAACAATAAACTTTAGTTGCGTTTTGGCCGATCATTTACGTGACAGCGGCGTTTTGGGTGCCTGAAAATGCAACGTTTTGAAAACGGCTTCCAGAGTGCAACTTTTTGGAAACGGCAGCGTCTCCGTTGTCATGTAAACTTGCAATATGCAGTTCCTCTGAAAACGGAGATTTTTCGCACATGCGCGTTACGGTTCCAGTCACTAGGCATGCCGACCGTCACAACAACAATGCAGAGCTCTGTTTATGCTGCTCACCCTGTTGATTTGAAGTGAAGTGTAGATCTGTTACTGTAGCAACTCCACCACGTCGTCCATCCAGACAAAGTTTTCTGTGCATGCTTTCGTCATTGTGTCTTCTTTGTTTTGGTATGTAGCACGTTGTAGAGGAAGGCGCTTCAGCGCAGGCGCATGGTGTCATGCCATGGTGTTGCTTTGCAGATTTACACTGCCACCCACTGGCCTGGCGTGCATACTACAGCGTTTCCTGTAGATTTTGCGGCTCCGTGTGAACGGGGATCGGTTCAATAATGTCGTCATATAAATGCAGAAGTTTTTTAAAACGCAAAGGACAGACTTTTCCATTTTTAGAGAAACCGTTGTCGTCTAAACAGGGCCTCAATCTTCATCATCTAGAATTAAGGATCTCTCCGTTCTCTGTCCTAAGCCCCTCCCACCAGATGACCACAGGCATCAGGCACATGCACATGTTTCATGCAATAACCCAGTGTTTCGCCATACATTGATTTATTTAATCTTATTTCACTGTACAGTTAAATACGGCTCATTTGTTCAGCCCCTCCTTGCCCCACTCTCTGTCTCTGTTTAGACCACAAATTAGACAACAATAGCTAGCTAGCAACCCCAGAGTCCCTCCACCTCCCTCTCCACTGCTGAGGACTGCTTCCCTGTGGGGAGAGTGAGCAGTTCACAGTGGCAGGAACTGCTCACTCTTTCTCCACTTTAATTTTTTTGAACAGCAGCCTCTGACCCCATATGAGGTAATGGACAATGGTAAATGCTAAAAAGTAGAGTAATAGTAGCACAATCAGAAAAGACTAAAAAAAATAAAAAATGATTGAAATGCTTAAAAAAATAATTTTGCTAACATGAGCCAACATAAGCTACTGATCAGTCTATAGGTCCAGAACTCCTAAAGGCATAGTTTTTGCGTCCACATGTCTGCAAGGGTCCATTTAGGTCCATATGAAGTAAATGTTGTCACCCACCCATGTCTGCAAGGGTTTGCACAGATGCTGTGCAGACATCCGTGTGCAGCCTATTTTTTGTGACAGTGGGGACTGTATGCTTATGAGTATGCTCCAATCTGTTGTTCCACACTCTAGTCCAGTCCAAAGTTAGTTTTATGTTAGATATTGGACAGACATTAGCCACTTTTCCACCAACATTTCCAGGAACTTTTATTACCAGGAATTTATTTACCTGGGTAAAAGAATTCCTGGTAATCTGTGTGGTTTGCGTTTCCACCACACCTCAAAGTTCAGGAAAATGTATTCAAATCACGCTGATGACGTAGATGATTCGGCGTGTGAGCCTATATTTAGCTCCGCCAGCTTATTGGCTGATAACATGGTAAAAGTAGTGCTGGTAGAGAAAGGATGGGCAGTTTGTTTCAGCCAGCAGCTAAGTTTAAAAGTATATTAAGATAAGTGTCAAACTAAGTTAATCTACATACAGACAGCTGTCATTTGAGCTTATTAGTGACAATTTGCTAGTAGCTGAACTAGCGTGCTGTCTAAATCAGCGTGTAAGACATAACATTAGTGACGGTGGATGAGAGACTGTGGACAGAGTATATTGAATATCACTGTCTACATGTTTACATGTTCATGCTTGCTGAACACATGTATTGATAAAGTATTGGCTTCTTACTTGCTAAGGGTTAATGTCACTTACAGTAACGAGTGTAGCTGCCGTCAACTCAAGTCATTTTCGAGTTATCTTCACTTTGTTTCCACCAGGGCTGCTCGGCTGTTCACCGGTTACCGTGCCGTGTGTGTGTGTGTGTGTGTGTGTGTGTGAGTGGAAGAGTTCAGCGCCGGAACAAAAAGAACCGATACCATTAGCGCTTATCAATACTACAGTCTTTGATAATTTAACCCTGGGGCTAATTTAGTACTGGGTCCATCCTTAATCAAAGCTCAAACGAAGTGAAGCTTGTAGAAATGAAATAAAGTTTGCAGCCACACTGGCACGGAAGTGCGGAATGCTGCAAGTGTGTGTTCCACCAATCAGCGTTCTTTGGCACACAGCCCTGACCCTCAAGAATTCCGGGGAAACTGAGAAGTCCTACCCCCCTACTAGGTACTTTTTTCAGGGAAAGTTTGGGGTAATTTCAGTGGAAACGCACTAAGGTTTTTCAAAATCCCGGGTAACTGATAAAAGTTCCTGCGGTGGAAAAGGGGCAGTTTTACTTGATGCTGGCCGAAGGAGAATGGTAAGCTCACCTCCCAGCCATCCTGCTTACTACTGGGGGCTGACATGGATCGTCAGTTGTTCTATGAATAGCACCAAATGCGTGACTGTGGATGTCCAAGCCTTAAGTGTATTAAATTGAGAAAAGCTTATTACTTGCAGAGTTTGAACTGATTTGTTAAAAGAAGATTATGTTATGCCCTTTCTCAAAAGTTAGACTACATAGTCCTGCTTCAAGTGGAAGAGCCCCTGGAGCAGATTTTACATCATGTTGAGCAAATCAACTGAAACTATGTTGCATGTAGAGACTGAAAGCAAATGTTTTTTTTCTATATTGTCTGGTGAGGAACAATTACTACACCACTGATTTCTGCACTGTACCACACAGCTGACCATTGATTAAACTGATCAGCCTAATACTCAATTATTATAATTGCCAAACACTGTAGCATTGATCAGTTTTGTTTCTAGCCATACACAGTATCTCAACCAACCTCTGGTCCAAATTCCAAGGTGCCATGTCAGCCACCCCTCCCCCACATCAGTCACAGGACCCAGGTTAGCTGGAATCTGGGAGTGGTCACGAGAGCTGTTTTAACTGAACTCCATCCTGGTCATGCTACATAGTCCTGTTGGTTAATCCCCTGTCTAGACCTCTCATAACTAAAACACAGGTGCAACGTATACCACTCATACAGAAAGACCTGGCAAACACTAAATCTACACTCTACACATTTTTACCATGTTCACATGTAATTTTTAATTCATTTTCAGCATACATTCAAATGTTTACTAATGGAAGGAACACTGACATTTAATGAAGGTCTGAACTGCTGGACTGAACACAGGATGAATTCTACCCTTGCCAGCCACAGAACGAAAAGTCAGCTTGTAATTGGGACCATCCATCCATGTATCCATCTTTTTTCTGAACAAGATACCTCTACAACTAATGGCTGAATGGTTGCACATTGAGTTTGTAATAAATATTCATGGTGCATTTGATCCCTATGAGCTTGAGCTTTTAATAAGGTCAGATTTTTACTTTGGACCATGACAAGGTTGCTTGAATTGTGTGGTTTTTGTGACATTTGTTGTCGATATTCATGGTCCCCTTTGGATAGACCCTCATTCTGACCTTTCCTCAGTTACCACCATTAAATCCAAATTTCCCCTTGTTTAAAAGAAGTATCAAAATCTAACAGGTAGTTTACCGTAACAGTTTATCCCTGATGATAAACCTTTTGCATTCTGAACACTCATGCAGTCCTCGTGGCACCATCCTCGTGTTAGGTCATCATTGCCAGTAGTGTATCTCTAAAACTCGCCACGCAAATGTGTGGTGCACTATTTTATCAAACCTGTTCCTATTCCGGGTCGTCAAATACCGACGCTTGTTATGCCCACTGGAGTCTTATAGCGACGCACGGGGCACTCCTTACGGTCTCCATGTGAAGCACATTAAAACATGTGTTACTGCTGTGAAACAGTTGCAGTTAGGTTTAGGCAACAGAACTACTTGTTTAGGTTTAGAAAAAAGATCATATTTTGGTTAAAATAGGTTCGTTTGTGATGTAAAGTAACGTGATGTAAAAATGTCAGGTGAGTGATGCCAGTTGTGCGTAAGCTAAGTTCGGTTACTTTGCGTTATGTAACATGACTTTGTGTTATGTTAAAACAACACTGGCTTTTTGTTTCACACAGGACAAGAACTGTGCACTCCTGGGTGAAAGCCTGGTTTAGTTTGACCCATCCACCTCCCCTCCATCCTCCCTACTCAGACTTTCTCGCTCTTTATACCACATCACTTGCTGTCAGCATCAAGTATTGTCGTGGATGTGTTTTGTGGACTTATTTTATCACAGAGGTTCAGCTAACAAGATATTGTTATTGGTGTGTTAAAAATGCTGGAGAGAATGTGATGAACACCGCACCCATTTAGCCATAGTTTTTGTTTTTGCCCAACTTTGAAGACTTTCAGGGAGAAAAAAAACCAAAAACAAAAAAAAAACAACAACAACAGACATATAAATAGCTAGTATCACAATCAGGTCAAACTTTGAATTTTTAGCCTCACTGCTGGTAAGAAAAGCTAAATCATCTGTCTTCAATCCTAACATCAACCACAGAGCTACAATGATAACTAGTTTGCAACTGCTTTACACGTTAGATGTACTATAGCAAAATGCTACCAAATAAAACAACATATAAATACTTCTTGTATTTGTAATAAATTTAGAACTTTAACAATGGAGGATCAGTATTGAGAGGAAACTTATTCATTCTTTGCCTGAGTCATCGATTAAAGTCTAGTTCTCAGAATGAGTATCAGCACTTGGTTGCATCCAAACAAAAATATAAACAAATAGGATATAGACAGGATATAGTTGACCACATTGGTGTTTTAATTCCGTTGACGTAAATGAATGACACTCATGACCAGCATCTTACAAAACTTCCTCATGCATCACTAACAAAAGTACAAACTGAAACAACAGTTCCACTGCCCATCTTGCACAACACAGCTTTGGTTAACGCTACACCTTTTCAGTTTAGTTATTATTTTCACTTATGCTCTGCTCCAGTGTATCACAACAAAGTCACAAGGTGTTTCCACATGAGAATAAGTGTTGTTTAGGATACAGAGCAGCTTGGAAATGTAATGTAGTATTTAGTGTAAATGATTGGACACTATGGAATGCTAGTGTCTGTGCAAAAATAAGGAAGCACAATATTGACATATGGGCCTCAGGAGACTGGTCCTCCAGCTTTGTGTTGTGCTGAGAGTGACGATGAACTGCAGGAAATCCTTTATTTCAGCTGGTGAGTCATATCAGCGTGAGTACTGTCTGGGGACTGTTCTTTTACTGACAGGTTTGATCTGGGGTTTGACACAATGACAACATTGACCTTTTTATATATTTCAGATTATATCAAAAAATATCAGTTTGGCTTTTTTGTCAGCTGAACATAACATAGAATAAAGACTAAACTTAAAAGTTACTCCTTCCTGTTAGCGACAGCTAGAGAAAAGTGATGATGGAAGAGCCAGAGGAGAATCTGCTTTGATATTTATACGGAGAGCACACTTCCTGTAACAGACTACATTTCTGTGGAGTTATGATGTCACTGACATGCATGCTTGGTATTATGCTCTACAGCAGTGCTTGAAGTGCAAAAACATAAGTGCTAGTACTCCCCTTATTCACATGTTGGTGTGTGCACTGGGGAGATGGAAAGAGTTGTTTTATGAGTCAGTTTGCTTGTGGCAGATGAATGATATGTGCAGGGTTACTTAAAGGAACCAGTCTTGTCATCACTTGCGGTGGACTTGCTGGTTTTGATGGTGCTAACGTTACATCAACAGACTCTTTGCTGCTAGAAGTGACGCTAAGGTTAGCTTGCTGCTCCCGGCCTGCATTTAGTAACGTATGATTTGACTTTTGAAGATGAAGCTGTTTCTTAGACTCACCGCCAACAGAGAAGGCATGGAGAGGGAAGACAAGAGTACAGCAGCTTGTGAGAAATGCCTGGTGTGCAAGAAAAGTTATGGTACACCAGTATGAGCCAGGACTCATACTGCATACTGCAGCCCTGCAATCAATTGCCAGGACTGTGTAACGCTCAGTACCGGCCCACTTCAAACACTACTTTACAGTCACCATCATTCATGCCTTTCCTGCCTGTAGACATGCGTTGCTGCACTTCTTTGTTTGTAAATACAAACAAACTTGTAAACCTGATGTGACTATTTATGACCCTATGTGTAATAAAGCCATCTTCACCTTGGTAACATAATAGAACATCAAAGCACAACAGAAATGGCGAGATGGTGCACCTGAACAAAGTGGTAAGTTTAGTGTAAAACTAGGTGGTTATAATCTATCACTAAATGTTGACTCAACTTATGTCCAGCTGGTGTGGCAGGATGCCTTCTCTCTCAGTTTGAAAGTTCTAAAATCTTGTTTTGAATTTTGGTGCTGGGGTTTGTTTTTGATTCGGTGTGTGAACAGCTCTGACTCCCACTGATTCAAACACATCCATTTTTTTTACAATTTTCCACACAAAACACATGAAGAGTCTTTAAATGGTAAATCATTTTCTCACGTTTGATTAGTTTTTCATTTTAACAAGAACATGGATTTCTGTATTTAAAGACTACTTTTTATAGGACCTTACCAGCAAAAGCACAGTTTAAACCCTGAAAGTTTCTTGTGTGCAGTGTGTGTCAAGTGAATGTTCTTCCTGATCTTATGAGAGGTGTGTTTGTATTAACACTCCATGAGCTCCACTGAGTGTGTCTACGTTTGTATGTGCTGCCCCAGGAGCCGAGGACCGACAGCAGCAGCTGTAACTCACACAGAACAAATGGGGTCAAGGGATGCCAAAACTGTACTGACTGGAAAGCCGGGTCAGAGGTCACAAAGGCAGCAACGCATCCAGCAACTGAGGAGTGTCACTCGCAGCAAAGTCTATTTCTGAACAGGCTGGGTCCAGACAGCTTGGTCAACAATTAAAACTGACTACTGAGTAGAGCACATGTGCCCAAAACAAATTTCCTATTTGGGACATCTTATCTTGTCTTATCTTAAACATTCAGCAAGTTTGTGGAATACACGTCAGTGAAAATGTGGAAGTCATCTGCCCAGGGGTGTTTTTTCAGTGAAGGAGATGCTGCAGATACACTCACTGAAACAAGTTACGCAGCCAAGGTTACTGTTGTGTTGCATTGTCTCTCAGTGATTCATGACTTCATGGAAAATCCACTCTCAGATCCTCATCCATTCTATGCATAAACCATGAGTCTGTGCAACGCATTGTGGGATAAGTTCCACTTTGTTACACTAATAACTCTTTGATTAATGTTGGGGAATGGTTAAAAGAAAGTAATGCTGACTGTCACTAGGAAACAGGGAAAGTCTCCCATTTCAGATATTTTACTGACCCATCCATCCAACCCAACCTCCTTCCTTTACTTAAAGCTTTATAAAAATCTCCCATTACTTCCCCCTTTGCTTTCGATTCACAACAGACATAATTCCTACAGCCGCTAGAGGGCTTTGTGACTGCTTCTACAACCCCAATGGCACCCCCAGAAATGTTTCATAGGAGTGGCCACATGATGCTACTGAAAATCTTCGGGTGGAACACCACAACCAAAAGCCATAACTGAATTTCAGGAATGCGATTATGCCGTTTAAGTATATAGGCTAGTTGAAAACTATGTCTGATACTTTGGTTTCTTATTTTACAGTTGATGTCACAAATTATCTGATGTGCATGGACATTACATACTGTAGACAGTTACCGACACACAGAGTTCAAGGGACCCTTTTGAAAACTGGCATGCAAGTTCTTCCCTCACCAAAATTTAACTTTGGTTATTTAGTCCCCTTCCCAACAAGCTATGCTGACATGGTTGGTACCAAGGAGCTTGATTAAGCTTGATTTATGTTTGGGCACATGACACTTTTGATGAGTGTTGCACAACACATATGACACATTTTGGACAGAAATTAAGTGTAATAAGTAGTCTTAAATGTGCAGTGTGTCTGTCAGCAGCAGCTCCCATGGAGCTCAGAGGACAGCGGCCGGCCGAACTGCCTTCACCAGGCAGACAGACATCAGACTTTTAGTGACCAAAAATATTTTTCACGTCAGTGCCATGGGAAGAAATCAACAGTGTTTGTTTTTAGTAATTCATTTATTTCCCTGCCCAACATAGTGAGTGAGGGGAATCTGCAGCTTACAGAGGGAGCTGATCCATCAATAAATATACTCTTAACCTAAAAACACATATACAGAGCGATATTTGTGTGATTTTAAACAACTTCCTGTGCAGATTATGCTTCACTAAATGAGACAGAAATAGACTCGTAGCATGAAAAGAGCAGGGGGTCTCTGGTTACCAAGGAGACGACTACAAGATTTCGGCAAAGCTTAAATTGAAAACGTTGCACTGCTCTTAAATTTATGTCAAGTGAAACTCTTCAAATGTGTCGCACGCACAACCTCCCTTCGGGGGCTCTACTGTAACCTCCCAATCAGAGAACAACATGAGGTAAAGCAGAATACAATGGCCAATGCAATTTTGTTAGCGACACTTGCTACAAAAAAAACCATGACAGTGCCCACGCTATGGCCACAAAGTTTTTTTGTTTTGCTGCATTTAAAACTAGAAAGCGGCGTACACGGATGACACGAGTTGATGACATTTCACTGCTTGCATTTTTTTTTCCTATTTACATGGTAACAATACAATTCGCAGACTGACAGGTCCCAAAGTTGATACTGTATAGTCTTACGCATACTGCTACCAGAATTTTATGAGAGCCAACTTGCACAGTGTAACATGCACTGAACCCATAAGATCATTGTTATTACGCACAACGCCCCACAGCTCTTTGATTCTAGGAGACCAAAGTCTCACTTCCCACTGAGCTACAACATTTTCAACCCTTCACCTCCACTGCAGCTGTTGCAAAAATCAGGACACGTGATTATGTTGTAAATGATTGGCCAGAAAGATGAACAATACACCAACAAACAACATAATACATCCTAAAATACAAATTGCAACTCAGCAGTGCATTTAAAATGTCAATCATAATTCCTCATGTAACAATGTGGTAGATAATTCATCACCTGTTGTTCACAGTTTAGATCCCTCACCAAGCAACAGATCATCAGTAAACATAACAAATGAGGAATGTCCATAAAAATAAAAAAGCAAATAATGATCAAATCCCATGTTAAAAAGAAAAAATATTTAGCGTTATAAAAAAACGGTCATAAAACTTATAACGTTAAACGATCTTTTGTCCCGTCGAGTCTCAGTTGACTGTAAACTCCTGAATGGACAGTCACAATCCTCAATATCTAGCAACTATAATAATATAGTGTTCATAAAATCCCTAAACCAAGGCCTACAGCAGGTAGAAATTACCAGTGTGCAAAAGTGGAGCATGAAGTCGACGCAGCACCAGCTGGTGTGCCAAAGTCACATTCGGATTCGGAACATGCCCTGGCTCAACTGAAGGCGGAACAGTCGACAGTTGGCGATGCGTAGCGCAGCGCAGGCTGTTTTGGAGAGGTCAGTGGGTAACATGGGCTTGGTGCGATGCCACGTCCCAGTGCTGCGGCGAAACTCCCGAATGTAGTCGAAGCTCGTTCCTGTAACATGCAGGAAACACCAACCTTACACATTCAAATACTGACATTACTGTAACCTTATCAGAAATCTGTTGTTGTTTCACTTGGTGTAGTCTTACTGACCTGTGTCCAGGTCTCCCACAACATAGATGCTGGCTCCAATGGGCACAGCACCATAAATGAAGGATGAGCTGGTCTGGATACACAGTGTCTGATCATCCAAGAGCATCCACCTGTACCCATCATATTACAACAGATATGGGTAATAAAAAACACATTTCTCTGTATGAAATTTAAAAAGGAAATAATAAAACAGATCACAAAAAATATGAAATATAATAAAAAATTATCAAAAATAATCAAAAACTTAAAAACAGCCATTAAATTTTCCTTGCTGTGAGACTGTTTTCTCAACTTGTGTTTCCAAGGTCAAGAATGATTTTTGACCCTTACATTTACACCATGATGGGACACTAAAACCCAGAATAATTGAAGTAATAATAACGCAATCAAAGAAACATATAAAAGTTTAAAACTTGCAAGTTTTAATTAGCTTCAAAAAATCCTTCAGAAGCAGTGTTTCCATACTGACCTCCTCATCTCGTCATGATAGAACTCAGACTTGCAGGTGGTCATCTGTCTTTGCTCAGGGTTGTCATTCTCCTTGCTTCTAACTCCACCGAACACGTAGAGCTCCTGGCCGACGCCACATGCCACCGACCCAAACCTGACCAGGAAAGAAGTGAGGAGTAAGTTTTCTGGAAAATCAACTGAGAAACTGTTAATGGATAAAATAAGCAGATGTTCTGTCTGGTTTGTCTCCTATTGGCTAATTTCTGACAAATCAATACACTTTCAACCTTTTAAATATGGCCCATAGTACATAGTCTAAAATGCATGGCAAAAAAGCATTTGGGGTGTGTCCAACCAAGTCAAACAGCACATCATCTGAAGTGCAAAGTGAGGCACAAGGGGTAAAAGGGTTGTATTTAGTCTCTTAATTGGTCATAGTTGTGTTTTGGGTGTAACATGAATTCAACCAATCAAGAGTGTCATCTCCCATTCTCTTTAAAAGCCAGGGGCCGTATTCACAAAGCTTCTGACTACAAAGAGTTGCTCCTACTGACGAACTAATAAGAAAATTCTTTGAATTGTGATGTTTTCTTAGAATTTCCAATTAAAGTTAAGACTAAATCCTGGATGTGCCTGTGACAACCAATCACATCTGTTAAACGAATGCACCATACCTTGTATTGGGGTCAACCCCAACTCTTCACTAAGATAAAAGTTTCCATCCCTTTCTTGCTCAGAGTTGCTTTGAGAACTTTCCTAAATCAATCTTATGCTAGGACTCCTTACTGAAAATGTTTAGGCTAAGTTAGAAGCTCTCTGAGAGTACTCTCAGAATGTTTGTCAATATGGCCCCAGGCATGCCTGCACCTGGTGCACTGCCATTTACATGGTGGATCTGGCAAACTGATGAAGTGATTGGTTTTCTACTGAGTTTAATGCAGTAAGAGCAGTGATGTCACTGCTGCAAATAGTATGACAAATTTAAGTGGCAAAACTAAAAATTGTAGTTTTAAACTTGATGGAGGAAACAGAACTATACTTTTTGCTTCTGAAATAATCGATTAAATAATGCTGCTTCTCATGTGTAAATGTGCACAGGGTCTCTCTTAATGGGGAGTCAGGCAGCAGCTGTGCAGCTCTGCTCTGCTCTCTGCTGTGTTCATGTTTTAGAGAATGTCATTAATATTTTCTGATTAATGATTAACCAACCTGCAACCCATGGGGTTGTGACAGGCAGAACCTGTGTGTGTGACAGTCAGAGTGCAGGCGTGGTGAGAACAGACCTATGTGGGCGCATCTTACAATCTGAATAATGAGCCCTTTAAATAGCAGTAAAATACTGCAGCATTCTGACTTTGGACCAGGTTTTTGATGGTCAATGGCAAAAACACTCAAAATAGCAATATGCCAACAATGTACCTTGCACATAAGGTGCCAGAGTGCATAAAGAAGCATCTAAATAGAGTTTGTTTATTAAAAAATAAATGAACGGGAAAGGGAGAATTATCCCGACTACCGACAGAGGTCCAGGCTAAGTCTCCAATGTCCTCAAGTCCAAGAGACACCCCTGCATACACCTGACCTGTGTGTGGCAGCCGCAACTGGATTTGTCTATTTTTTTTTATTTTATTTGATAAATGTTATTGATGTCTGTTTATTAACTTGCCCCTGGCCTCCAGTCATTTTGCAAAAGTGGCCCCTAGGCAAAGCAAGTTGAGTATCCCTGCCATTAATTAATCCTGCTTTGCAACATTGCACAAAACAACCTAAAACAACTGGACATATAAAAGAAACACCGCCAATGGCCCTATCTAGAGCCAGTGCTTGGTTTGTCCATTCTGGGCTACTGTAAAGAGGCAAAATGGTGATCTCCATAGACGAGGACCTGTTCCTCATTTAGGTATACTATATGCTCAATAAAAGGTAACTAACTAAAGTACAACAATTCTTATTTTCAGGTGATGATACAACAAATAAACATACTTTCCACATTGTATTCCATTTCTGCCAATATATACCCTTAAATCCTACACCCTGAACCTTTAAGTCCATAAGGTTAACATTTAAAGGGAGGTTTGGTAACTTACAGCTTGAACCAAGGAAAAGACAATGTGTCAAAGAATCTTGAAATAAAAGTTATCGGCTGATGATGAAGAGAGGCCAGTATACGGTATGTTTATAATCAAAGGGTTCATGGCACAATGGCTGATCCAGAGGAAAAATCAAGGCAATATGAAAGAGGCAAACATATACAAACAGAAATAAATATGTTCTTTACAAACCAAGGAGTAGAAAAATAATCTGATTTTGCCAGCATTTATTAACAGATAGAGGTAAACGTATAAAGAAGCTCCCTAAAGTGATGTTTCAACTTGACATCTGGGTTGAAAATGTCAACAAAATAGGCAACTCTACAAGGAATGATGTCACACACCTCTTTGAGGGTTCAGTGTACACATGAGCTTGAATTCTACCTTCTCTAAACATAAAGGGTAGTATTAATCAAGTGTTAGGCAAACCAAAGGACAGAATGTTGTTTCTTCACATGTTAGGATCACAAGTTCTGCTTATGACTAACAAGTGTAGACAGTGTGACAACATCAACATCCTGAGTAAAACGTTGATATGACTGCCATGATTTCAGTATGACTGTGGTGTCATTTGAGGGACATTAAACTGAAACTAAAACTGACAGTCCTGAGAGAGCAACAAAAACCATGAAGCTATGCTTCATTTCCTGTTGAGCAATATAAACAGCGACAACATTAAGTATCACAGGCTGTTAAATGTTAAATGTTGGCATTACATGGTAAGTGTGTATAATGTGACCAAAATATCTCTAATGGACAGAAAAGAGAGGATAACAAGACAATAACATGAGAAGAAGAAAACAAATATTGACTTTAAACTGGTTTGTTTGTCAGCTGATCAAAGTATAGATCATCTTTCTTTCATCCTGCTCAGACCACAACAGCTAATCAGCAATCAGAGTTTGTGTTTACCTTCTCTCCTTTAGAGGACAGAGGCCTGTCCATTGCAGGGTTTTGGGGTCGAAGCATTCAACAGAGTCAAACAGCTTGCCGTAGGAGCCCCCACCCATGGCATAGATCTTCTTATTCATGGAGGCATAGCAGCCGACCTGAAGCAGAAGACAGACATGGCTGTACAAGTCACGGCATGTGGGGAGAGGTTCGCAGTAGAAAAGTGAAGCACTTTGTCTAAGGGTTGTAACAGCCTTGGGCCCATTCTTCTTGGTCATTTCAGTTTCACTGATAAGTGTGTGTGGTACAATGTCAGGACAAAGAGAACTGTTTAATGTGAGAAATAAAAATTAGGCAATAACTAAATAAGGAGGCAGAAAAAGTTTATATTTATGTTGGTAATGGAATACAGATTTTTTCTTTGAATGACTCTTCCAGGTCCCTTTTCACTTGGGTTGAGAGGAGGGGTTTTGAGAGAATTTCACTTGCATTTCTTGCCGTCTTTTGATAGTTACAGGAAATGAGGGCAGAGAGAAGAGGGATGTCATTCAACAAAGGTCCACAGCTGAACTTTAACAGGACAACTGAATTACACGGTCAGTGTCTCAAACCCGAAACCACAGAACCCTGCAATCATAAACAAATATATAACAGATCAATCATTTATGTCAAATATTTCTATCTCTGTCTTGTAGGTGTCCCTCTTCCCTCTTATCATTGGGCTGTGGGACTGGTGGTCCAACAAAACAAGTTATTTGAAGACATCGCCATGGACTATTTATTTATCAACCTAAATTCTAATGGCCATTTTTCATTCTTTTCTTACTTTTCATAAACTGAATGATTATTCATGTAACTGTAAAAATGATTATAAAAGATTCTTCAATAATAAAAAACATATCCTTCATTCTAGCCCTAGCTAGTCTCTGTTTATTAAAAGGATGCAGGTTTCGGGGCGTCAGTGGCTTAGTGGTAGAGCAGGCGCCCCATGTACAAGGCTGATGCTGCAGCGGCCCGGGTTCGACTCCAGCCTGTGGCCCTTAGCTGCATGTCTCTCCCTCTCTCTCTCTCCACCTTTCACACTTCACTATCCTATCAATTAAAGGCAAAAAATGCCCATTAAAAAAAAAAGGATGCAGATTTTATTAATGAAATAGGGCATTTGGGAGTTCTCCCCTAGGAAATTTTGAGCATCAAACAATTTCTGTTTAACTTAACCAAAATAAAAATCCTCTGTTCCTCTCATGTTTTTATTGTTGGGGAGAATGCACATGTTCTAAATATTGAGGGGAATTTGTCTATGTAAACAACAAAACAACACAACACAACACATAACTACCCCAGAAGCCGCTTTGAGTACTTTGCCAGGTGTTTATCTTTCGGTCAGTCTGTCTGTCTGTGGACTGATTTTGTCACTTGATTTACAGGTGTGTAGTCTGGGTTGGAAATTAACTTTTTTGTTCACCTGCCACTGTGGCTGGTGGATTCCCAAATCTACCAGCTACTCCATAGATTACCATTGTTTTTTTGGCTGGCGAGTGAAGCAAATCTAGCAGCCACTTGCATATTTTAGCAGCACTTGGCTCATGACTGATGCCAATTTCCAATCCTGTGTGTAGCTGAGATCACAATGAAGGTCAAATATGGTCTGAGCAAGGGCTGGAAGTAGCCCCTGGCCTACATTCACTGGTGGTAGATCGCTGTATCACGGCTGGAGTGATCGCATCCCAAGATGGTCTCTTGCTCTTATTGTGTTGCTGGAACTCAGCGTGACAGTAGCTCAGTCCATAGGGACTTGGGTTAGAAACCAGAGGGTTGTTGGTTCAAGTCCCGAATATTGAGCATGGACTGGTAGCTGGAGACGTGCCAGTTCATCTCCTGGGCACCGCCAAGGCACCCTTGAACGAGGTACCAAAGCCCCAACTGCTTGGTGCACCTGTCCTTGGGCACATCTCTCCATTTTTAATGCATAGGTCCTGTTTGTGCATGTGTGTATTTCAAATCCCCCTCAGGGATTTATAAAGTATTTCTTCTTCTAAAGGGAGGTAGCAGCCATGTCAATATCAGCAGAACATAATCTATAGATTAGGTCTGAGAAACTAATCCAAACATAACTGGAACCAGTATCACAGCCCTTTTCGGACATAGATTGCATAATAAAGCTAGTTCGATCTATCTGTTAAAGATAGACATAGGTGTCTTTTACATTAATGTCCCTTACAGCTTCATTCAAACATGACAGAACGTTTACAGAATGAGACAATGCTAGTTGGTACCAGGTGTGAGAAAGTAAAAGAGTGTATGAGACAGGGTTCCCCCGCATTTGTTATGTCAAATTCAAGGACTTAGAAGGATCAGGATTAATTACTGCTACAACAGTGAGAATGTTTATAATGAAAAGTATCAGGCATTACAGAAGCTCACAAACAGCAATTGAAAAGAGAGAGAGGCTTGACTGTGTGAAGAGGTCTCAGTTGTGATACACTGATGACAGACAACATCAAAGATGATCAAGTTTTTATTCTTGCACAAAATACATAAAGTCAAGCACTTTCAGTGACCCATGTCTATTTATGTCTATTATCTATTTTTCCCTCAAAATTACAAACTTTAAATGATTTGAAGGACCTGTGGGGACCCTGGCGAGAGTAGTGGATTAAAAACAAGCCAATTGTTGGAAAAAGACAGCTGGGCGGTAGCAAGAAAGAGCTGGTACACAAAACAGATGTCATGTCGGTCATGCAGATGCACTGTGTCTTCAGTCAACATGACATGATGCAGGCCAAAATGAAGCTTAATGTAAATACTGTCACAAACAGTGTGGAGAGCAGCATCACTGGGAGTGCTCAGCGCTGCGTGTGTCTCGCCGGTGAGCAGGAGGTCATGTCATGTGCTGCGGGAATACAGTATCTTGGATGTTGGAATGTAGTCAAGTTAGTGGTGATCCATGAATGTAACAGTGTATGTTCATTTTGAGCTTCGTTAGGGGCGGCAGTAGCTCAGTCCATAGGGACTTGGGTTGGGAACCGGAGGGTCGCCTGTTCAAGTCCCCGTCTGGACCAAAATATGGAGTGTGGACTGGTGGCTGGAGAGGTGCCAGTTCACCTCAACCCCCTAACTGCTCGGAGCACCCGTTATGGGCAGCCCCACTCTGACATCTCTCCACTTAGTGCATGTATAGGTCCTGTTTGTGCATGCGTGTGTTCGGACCTGTGTGTAATTGACAACAGAGTGAAAAATTGAATTTCCTCGGGGATTAATAAAGTAAATTAAATTAAAATGTTGTCAGAAGATAAATGTTACAGCTCCTCAAGAATTGTTCAGAGTTTTGGTTGTAGCTTCTAAATACAGTAACACAGAAATTAGGCCCAAACTTAGCTACAACCCTTTTCTCCCAGACTGCAGTCTGGAGGCTGAAGCCGGTCATTTAAGTGACATTATTTTGACACTTGTTTGTTAATATAATGTGAAATAATCATGAAATAAAATAAGGCCATTCAGTGTTATTTAGATATTTCTATAATATTAATTATTTTAATGAAATACAACATATTTCAGTTTGATTTTCCTATTTCAGCAAATAAGAAGTTCTTAACTACTGAATATGTTCAACAAATTGTAGTCTATCATAATCCATGTTTTATCCATGAGAGTTAATATGAGCTCCACTGTGAGGACGCAGAATCTTGTTTACTAATAGTTACTGAAGTTTACTGTCACAAATAATCGTGATATTGATTTTAAATGATATTTCCAGGCCTGAGTTTGGATCTAATTTAAAAGAATTTAATGTACAACATTTCATTTAACAATAAAGTGGGGATATAAATGTAACTAGTGTGTTGTGCCATTATTGTGTCTGAGTAATCAACAGTGTCACATGTTGTACATCCTGTTAATGTGATATTTGTGTATGTGTTATTACCTTGCGGACCATGGTCATGCTGGTCTGCATTTTCCAGGTATTGAAGTGAGGGTCATACACCTCAACTGTGAGCAGCTCTGTTTCGTTGGTCTCTCCTCCAAGAACGTAGATCAGACCATCCAACTCCACCACACCAAAGCTCTGACGAGCCTAGACATGATAATCCAACCACACACATAAGCACTTTTGGGCTTTTTAGAAAATTTCAAATCACACTTAGAACACAGTAATGGCACCAAGCTATCAAAACAGTATTAACAATATATTGAAGTCTGACACATGTCTCACACATGAGCATTTAGAGACTTCAACAAAATATATCCAATATACAATGTGAATGCCAACACTGAAGCGTAAGCAGATGACTATGACTACGTAGTCTGTCAAGTCTGCTTGTGCTGCCAACTTGGGTTTAACCTGTATTGCAGCTCTGCTGGCACCTAGTGGTCATGAAGTAAATTAATACAGGGGTCAGAGAGCGTACAAACATGGCTACGGAAACACACTTTGTATGGTGGACTGATCATTTACCAGCTTAAAAATCAGCAAAACAGACAGCTGCAAACAGCAGCAAATACCAACAGCAAAATGTTTGAGTTGAAAAGAATTACTATTCAAGATTTCCCTTTAAAAATACCCATAGACTTATTCAAAGGTAATCTTTTCTGATTATCACTTATGACCCACAAAAAATGTGTGATGGTGTATTTATCTGCAGAGACTCTGCCCTCTGGCTGTATTTCATTTTCTTCATATTTTGCTGTGTCTGGGACATTCCTTGGCACAGAGCGCAGGTGAGGTTGGGATTTTATAAAGGCACCCAGTTACCAGACCTTTAGCAGCACACATTTAAGAGGAAGCTAAGACAACTGCAGACATAACAACGGGAAAAAATGCAAATAAAGCACACCAGAGTAGAGCTGCAACAGCTAATTGATTAGCTGTCAACTATTAATTTATTGGGGCGTGGGTAGCGTAGTGGATAGTGCTGGCGCCCCATGAACAGAGGCATTGCCTCATTGCAGTGGTTGCAGGTTCGAGTCTGGCCTGCAACCCTTTGCTGCGTGTCAGTCCCCACTCTCTCCCTGTCTCCCCATTTCACACACTGTCATATCAATTAAAAGCCCAGAAAAATAATCTTTAAAAAAAAATAAATTAAAAAAATAAATTTATTGCCAACAAATGTGATAATTGATTTATTCTCAGAAATAATAATGTCAAAACTCTCTGATTCCAGCTTCTTAAATGTGACTATTGTCTGGTTTCTTTACTCCTCTGTGACTGTGGACTAATTATCTTTGTGTTGTGACCAAAACAAGACATTTGAGGACATCATCTTTTTGCCATTTGGACCAATCAGCTAATCCATTAATTGAGAAAATAATGAACAAATTAATCAACAATGAAAATAATCGTTAGTTGTAGCCCTAAAAAAAGAGTGAAGCTGGGGTTAGCTTTCACTTTTGCTGGCGATACGATCAACAAAGACTAACTGACATGTCCAGCAAAGTGCACCTTCAGAACTTTCCATCTGTTTGATAGAAACATTGAACTTTAGGAACTGCATAGTAAAGCACAAGAAAAAAATGACAGGGAAATTGAGGAGAAAAAAATCTACTGCAAAGATGACTCTCAGTCATTTATATTACTGATAACAGAGTAATTTTAACAGCTGAAGTCTCAGGAGAGCATGGTTACAGAAAGGGGTGAGTATACCTGTAGCATTGGCTGTATGGAGCTCCAGGTGTTGGAGTCAGGGTCATATTTCTCTCCACTGTCTAGGACTGTATTGTGTTCATCTGCTCCGCCCATGACAAACAGAAAACCCTCTAACAGACAGGAAACACAATGTCATTACTCACATATATATATATTTACTGGACATTATGTTTGCACTGTTCTGCTAAATAGAAGAACAACATTTCATTCAGTCACTCAAGACATGAGTTACAGATGTGTTTGCTGCATCGCTTCAGTTGTGGTGAATGTTTTTTTTTCCTGGCCTAGCCAGCACTAACCAGCAGCAACCACCCCGTGGCCGACACGGGCGACGCTCATTGGCTGTAGCTCGATCCAGGCCTGTCTGTTGGTGTCATAGAGCGGACACATGCAGCGTGTTGCAGCAGATGGCTTCTTAGTTCTGTGCAAGACAAAAACCATCATACCACACAGGATGTGAGCCGACCATGTGATCTGGGTGACCTCATCATGACCTACAATACCAGTGTTTTCCTCTGTCATAGTCATTTCCCAAAATGTTTTTGAAGTGAAAAGCTTTTTTGTAAATCATATCTAGACACTAAAGCTCTCCACTGAACATTTAAGATTATGATGTAATGCTGATGATAAAACTGTGAAGTCCAAATAAGAAAAATAAAGATGGTGGACAGTGACTCACTTGCGATCCTCTCCTCCGGCGATAACAATGCACTCAGAGTAACCTCTGGGTTTGAAGGCAGCGAGTAGAGCCTCCCCCTGCAGCGGACCAGCCCCCAGCACCTGCTGACAGTACTCTCTGATCACCTCCCTCATCAGCGGCTCTCCCATGGCCTGATGGGATACCATGCAGCACACAACAAGGTTAGCTACTGAGTTAGCCTAGAGGAGTTTTGCCTTAAAGTCAGAATACACAATGAGAGACACAATCTGACTGGACATTCACATCATCACACAGGTCCTGTTGTTACACTTTTGATTATACTATACATTTGAATCTGACCATCACGTTTTACCTGCTCTCTCAGGTAGCTTGCATCCAGGCCCTGCACCCACACTGCAGACATCACTTCCTTCATAAGCACCTACACATACAGATGGAAGACTCACTCTTGGTTTATGGAACAAACACAAGCTCTCAGCACTTGGAGCCAAATAAATTCATTGTTTGGGCCACTTGGGGGCAGAGAAACAAGCTGTCAACACAACACTGACATGGCATCATCTTATAAAAAATGTTGGGAAGTAGATGCCTATTTCTACATCTGCTAGACACAGAGATACAATAGCATTCATGTAGAGTTGTGTGTCTCCACCTGGCAAATCTAGGACCAATATTCACTCCCCTTGTAGCTCTGTGTTGCTCTTCAACAATTAAAACAAAATATCTGACTCTTAAGCTGCTGAATGTTCCCGTTCAGAAACTAGTCAGGGGCTATGTTTACGTGTACTCTAATATTCCACAATTATTCTAAATATGACAATATTCAGAATCTGATAGGCTCATGTGAATAGCATATTCTGTTTGATTATTTCAAATTAGGCATAATTGCAAATGTAGCATTTTCTGATTGACACATGTGGGATATGGCGATATTTGGGTTTATGGGCATTCTGTGGACATCTGCACAGCGCATTTAAAACATTGATCTCAACTAGGGGTTGTCATTGCAGTTTGGGACACACGGCATCTTGCTTGTGTACACTCAGCTCTGTGTGCTGTAGTGTTGTCAAATTTGGAAAGAGAAACACACCTACTGTTAAAAATGATTAAACTTACATCAACAGGTTTTTGTATATGTGCAAATATCACAACGGCAACCTTTTCAAGGAGGTGGTTGAAGGAATGAAAGAGGCAGGATGGGCGAACAAGTCTGCAATCTGTAAGGAAACTATAAAAAAAACTGTTTTGATGCAAAGAAGGAAAATGGCACAAGTAGCTCCAGCTGTTTTACTTTTCTATATTTTCACAAGATAAATGCCATGTTAGGGCATGATAATCACAGTATGCATACTGTCACTGCACATAAATGGGACGATTAATGGAATATTAATTTTCATTAGACATGTTAACAGGTTAGCTGGAATCTTGTCTTATTCAAAATAAGGGCAAAAAAATGTTGTTGTTTTTTTGGCCATGTACACAAACATCACTACCTTTGTCTTATGTTTGGTGCTGGGCAAGTACTGTAGAGTTGGTTTTATCAGAGCTCCCTGATTCTGCTGGAAACAAGTTTGATAATTAAATAAGCATGCAGTAAAACCTAAACAATGAACTCACAAGACTTGTTTGAATTGTGTTATCAATCAAAGGGAATGATAAGATGATGTTAATTTTTTGTCAGTGTTTTTGTGGCTTAAGCACAGATGGTGTGGAAAAAATTTGCAGTGCATGACAGATTTGATGATTTTCATACCATGCAGAAATAAAGTGAAACCAAAGGATTCCTAGAAACACCATATTCACATTTTACAACACATGTTTACAAAATACTTATCTGGGGAAAAGTAAATTTGATATGTACTAATGGGGTTTCAACATGAAACCCACAGATATGATCCTGTGAGAGGTTATCCAGAAATATAGTTTAACATCTATTGTTAAAAGGCCAGAGCTAATTTGTGCAAATTTGTGACTGTCCTGGTTTATCCTAGTTTAAAATGAACTTAATTCCAATACTGAAAAGAAATTATTTATCCAATCAGCAGTTGGTCAGCTGAGCAAAAAGTTACCTGTCTACATTTTACATTTTCTCCACCCTGAACTTGGAGGAAGCATCACCCACCCTGCGATCCTCGGGGTCATGTGCAAACCATCGCACCACAGCCTCCAGCACATGCTTTTCATTGCCCACATTCAGCTTCTCCATGGCCAGCACCTCTCAGAGCCGGTCCGGGGGCAGCTCTCTGAATTCCTCGGTGCGTGCAACATCACCAAAATGTGTCTGCAGAAACTCGGTGGCAGCATAGTGGACGTGGTAAAGGCAGTAGTGCAGAGAGAAGAGCCGGATGCCAAGGCAGTTCTCTGCAGTGATGCAGCTCTCTAAGAACTGGCAGCACAGGGACTTGAGGTCTGTCATGAGGAGGAGGTCAGATGCCTGCACCATGTCCTGGATGGTCTCTTCACTCAAAGTGATCTGTGTGTGACAGCCAAAGCCAAAGGGATAACAACAACTATGTGTCAGCACAGGCAGGAAATAATTACTCAAGCTTACCACGCCTAAAAACATTAGTGTGTCATTATGCTTTTTTAAAAAAAACCTGCACACTCACTTCACCGCTGAAGATGTAGTCCAGGATCTGTTTCATGATGGGCATGGAGACCCCCTGCAGCTCGATTCTGTATGTAGACCCATCTTCCTTTGGGGGATTGTAGTTCAGCTTGGTCCTAACAGAAGAAAAAAGACATTAATAAAGCTGAATATGTCAAACATGAAAATGAAAACTAGATGCAGGTGATGCACATTTATAACTCTCAGCAGTACCACTGCTTTAGTGACAGTGGACACGCCCATGTTGCTTTAGCACTGTAACCACCAGCCAGAGATAACAAGTGTGATGATATCAGAGCTGGTGTGACTGACTCTGTGCTGAACACCAGATTTCACTGCCAGATGTTCTAACCTGATATAAGGGCTGGCAGCAGCCAGGATGTTTTTCTGGATAGGAAGCTCCTCTCCATCAACCACCAGCAGCGCATCGTGGAAACTCTGCTCTTGCCAGAAGGTGCGAAGCACCCTGAGGAGTTTCTGGGAATGTTGTGGGTCCGAAACCTTCGAACCGGGATCACTCGATACAGTATCGGGCATGTCTGGGCTTGACTATGAACACATGAACAGGGGACAGCCTTCAATTCGGCTTGCACAAAATACAACACACAACATCTGTTCCCATAAAAATTGTCTTTAACAATGGGTTGGTAAGTTACTCGTCTGGCTAGTTAGTCATCTACTAACGCTACTGCACAAACCAGAGAGTAGATAGCTGTGTTAACAAAATCCAAATATTAGAAATGAAACTTAAATAATGTAATATAATGTTAAGTCAGTCACTTGTATGCCGAATACTGTGAGAAAACTAAGGCGTCGTACACTGACATGTTTCTAAATCAAGTTTGGCGAAGCTGCTGGTGAAAATGGTGCGTAAAGGCTAGGCTACTAGCAAAACAACCAGCACGTCGGTAAACAACAGCTCCTTTGTCAAAGACGACAGAATGTCACTGGCAAAACTCTATACAATTTAATGGAAAAGGTAATTTAGTCAACGTTAGTCTGACTTGGTTAATCTAGTAACAAATGGGAGAAAGCTACAAACCCACTATCATAGGCTTGAGACCTTAACTGTATGTTTACAATGGTTTCAAACTTGTCATGTTTTTCATTTTGGCAATTCAAGTGCACGCTCCTTAAAGTCTTACCTTAAGACTACGAAATGCGCGTTTCTTGTTTTACGAGCACGGGCTGTACCTAACTGCATTTAGGACGACATGAATCATTCCAGGCGAGAATGTGGAAACTGGACGTGAAGACATGTAATGTGCTGCATTCAATGTCAAAGGAAATATGATTAATACGAAATTACTGTTAATGTACACTTAAAAGTGTATGTGCACCTATCCAGATAGAGATTTTAAAAAGCCATTTTGTGACTAAAGACAGCAGATTCGTTTAATAGTTTTAGACCATGTACGTAATTAATCCATGCTTTGAACAACTTAGGTAAGAACCACAAGAGCACGTCCAGAATTCATGTAGCTCCTGAATGCAGCATCAGCTAGGCGGAAAGCGTGCTGATAAACACCGTTCCAATACTTTAAAGGCAACCTGTGTGCAAACATAATTGCGGATAAACCACTGTATAACAGTTACAAGTTAAGCGATATAAATGACTATGTACCAAGTATCTTTTTACACCAAGATAAATAAAACTCTCCCGCACTGTCCTGGTCTAGATTTCGAAATGGATAAACGAAGTGAGAAGATAGAACGAAGCGGAACGCGGCCACAAAACCAAACCGTCAGCACAAAGTTGTCTGAAATACAACCAAACAGCATTTCCGGTGTGAGTAAAACCTAAACCAACTAGTATAGTTTTGGTGTACTTTATAGTAATATACATCAATCTAAAACAATGAGCATATTTTGATGGTTTAGTACATTTCAAATTTCCAATATACATGTATTCTTGGTCATACTGACTAATTTATGCAAAAGTACACCAACATTTGCGCTTTTATTTTGAAAGGTAACTGCTACCTTTCAGCAACTGAAACAGTTGTCGCCGCCATAACTTTCCTCAACTGTTAACACTATTATGCTTTGCGCAGGACGTCTCAAAGGTAAAAGCGCTAACTATGTGTTTAGGATAGGCACGCCCAGTATTATGATAAGAGAGAATCGTGCAACATCGCTTTCAAACTGCCCGTCGTGGAGACGTCAGTATGGTGCAGTCACAGTAAGTTTTTCGCGCTTCATTTCTACCTTCTCTCCCCGATGAAATCAGAATGCCATGTTAAACCAACAACTTAGTATTTTACAATGTCTCATAGGTGGCATTTCTTGTGTTTCTAGCTCCCAGAGTGACGTTGTGAAGGAGGAACCAATGAGCATTGTGAGTGTGTGTCTGACGGAGCATAACTGGAGACTCACAGTTTGAAACTACAAACATGCCTAGACCCGCTCGGAGCACACTGTCTCCGTGGATAGAGAGTCTGATCCTGAGCTATGGCAGTGAGGAGGGGAGCAGCAGCGGGCGGCTCAAGGCTCATGTCATCGGGGTGGGTCAGATGTCTCAGTCCCAGGCTCAGGGCTCTGAGGGCCCCACAGGGCTGCTCTTCCTGTCCGACGGGGTGCTCCGGATCCCGGCCATCCTCACGGCATCAGCTTGGGAGCATCTCCAGGAGCAGGAGGACCGCGAGTGTTTCACCAGCCTGGTCAACACCACCGTGTGCATACAGGACTACCGGCTGCAGTTTCACATGGCCCTTGAACAGACAAAAAGCAGATTCTTCTTATCAGTTGGAGAGCTGGCTTCAACTGCAGCTGGTCCAGTTAAAGACAACACTCCTTGCTGCATGACACTGCCCTCCATCAGGCTGAAGGTCTGTATGACATGGAGGGCCCTGCTGGGTCAGGAGGACTCTCAGAAGAGCCAGTGTGGGTTTGATCTATCAGAGCTGCTGGGGGAGTGGCAGCATGACTGTCTACAGGCTGTGCTGGAGGATGTTCAGGAGAGGCTGATCGTAGCAAGCAGCCGCCCAGTGAGCCCGCAGCCCTCCACCTCAACTTACATCCCATCACTGGCCCACCCAGATACATTCACTGCCACAAGCTGGGACGTTGACAGGGTCAGATATAAAGGAATGAAATGTTTCACTGTCCCCATAAAGTGTCTCATCATCCCAGAGGAAGATACTCAGCGGACCTGTGCTGGAACAAGTGGCCGTTGTGCCGCCTCTGAGGACAGAAAGAGAGAGTTACTTCAAGATTGCAAATCTTCAGAGATGACGCTGCCTTCAGTTGATGGTGCAGAGTGGCGAATAGCCAAGCCAGCAGTTGTAGAGCCAGATGGAGACAATGAGAATTCACCTTGTCCATTGGAGGACAGCATGCTACACGAGGGCTTGATGATTGACAGTGACATCCGGCCTTTATCCAACCCTTGGGACATTTTTCCTCCACCATGTGAAACCTCATTATCCTCTGATGCATCCCCAGAAGCAACGCCAACCCAGTCACCCCACAATCCCACTGCCACTGAATTCAAGTCTGATCATTCTGCAGTCTTAACCAGCACGCAACTTCCTGTCACCAGCTCCGAGGAATCCCGGCAGACATCCAAGAACAGCAAAGGAGAGAACAGCTACCTCCCGCCATACCAGAGACAGCCACACTCAACTAGCCTCCCCACCACTACGGTTTCTTCAACTTCTGTGAGTTCACCAGAGCCTTTTAGCAGACCGTCAAACCTACTGCCTGCCACAGACGAACACCACAGTGACACAGCACAACAAAATCTTCCGGCTTTGGACAAGGAAAAACAGACTTTGGAAAAAGAAACCTTTGAGGGAAAAAAAAGAAAGAGAAAGAGAAGTGAGCCATCACCAGAAGCACTGACCACCTTAGTGGAAGAGGAAGTGGAGGAATCTCAGATTAGTGGGAGCCCTCCGTCTTGGCTCTTTGACAGTCAGGCAGGCTCCAGGGCTGAAGAGGGCAGCAGTCACAGACAGGGTCAAACTGTGGGGACTGTCTCGAGTAAGAGTCCCACTGTTCACAGCGATGGCAGGCCGTTCTCTTACTCTTACCAAGCGTCAGGACAGAATCTGCAGGATTTCAGTCGTTTCAAAGTCGCACAGTCCTTGCTGCACTGGGCGGTGAAATATCTTCTCATTCCAAAGCAGACAGAGAATCCACACGACACATCAGTGACCTCTGATCAAACTTCGTCTGACAGGACTGAGGTCACCTAACTTTAGGTTCAAAAGGTTGAGAGACAGTTAAGCTAATTAATCTGTTAATGTTTGAGTTGTTTTATTGTTTCATCTGACATAGTGTTGACTCACAGACTGGTGGTATTCCAGAGCAGCTTTATACGCTATGTCTGAATTACCAAGTAATAAGTTTAAACTTTGTTCCTTTGCTGTCTTAATTTAATCTTAAATGTATATTTCACCCCCCAGACAATCTTTTGTATAACAACTACTTACCCTGTGTTACAACAAATTGCATAGATAGTGTATTTGTGTTCTTGTGTGACTCTGATGAATCCAAACTAACCCTTTAAACAGCAAAGTCGCGCAATAACACCAAGTAACCAGCTGATCGAGGCAGCAGTAGACCAGCAGCTCCCGTGTTCAGCAAGGTCAGTGGAGTCTGGCTTTGAAGAGAGCAGAGATAAGTTTAATTTTCAGTTCGGCCTCCTGTTGGAAGGGGCTGTCTGTTTGGGAAGTACTGAGATACAACTGGATAAATGAGACTAGGATTATACTGCACAAGTTGTGTGAGAGTTTATAAATAGATGTTTTGATATAGTTTTGCTGTTTAACGCAGCCTGCCCTTTACTCAGTTCATCAAGAATTTTCTCAGTTTTTCAATTCTACGTTAGCCAGCGGCCTCTGAAAAAAATTTTCTTCAAGAATTAAATTTAATGTGGTGAGTAATTTATGTACAAAAGGTCATGTGGGGGGATGAAATATCTCCTTAGCTCAGGGTCTGCTTACCAACCAAGTTTTGTAATAAAGAGTTTGTTCAACCAAAATATTTCATCTGTTTTTATTCCTTTTATGGGTCTTTCAAGTAAATATAGAATGATCAAGGGACTAAAGTGGACGTTACCATCATCATCATATTAGAGGAAACAACTGACCTGTATTAAGCCAAGCAAGTGTCCATCATGTACTCTAAACTATACAGAGTAGGGGAAAAAGGCTTTTCTAAGAGTCTGGTGAACCCTCAGTGTTTTAGTCAACAAATTATTTCAAGTTACCAAAAAGTCTCAAACACGTATCTGCTGTGCTAATGTAACATTGCAGTTTTCTATTTGTCCAGAAGATGTCACCAAATACCACTCGTTGGAACTTGGATTACAAACCAGCTGAGGTTGAGAGGTTCAGTGCAGAGTTAATGACAAAAGGCCAGACCACAATCCTAACAAATTAACAACATTAATATAATACAGATGACTTATTCAGTCTTCAGCTAAAACTCATACGCACAGTGACTGTAATAAGTAGTAGTTGCAGTTGATCAAATCTGCATTTCTGCCCCAAATTTATTCTCATAATGGCAAGTTGTGTACACAAGAAAATACCAGTGAATGGACAAATTATCATGAGCTTAGTGGTTAATGGTTTGACTGTGTGACAAAAAGCAGAAAAGGACTCGCACACAACTGTGTGACAGACATTTTTATTGACAAGGCTTAGAGTCCCACTCTGCATTCTGGTGACATTTTCTGCACCACTTTGTGCCATTTCAGTATCAGTTTGTGGTGTAAATGTCTTTAATTTTGTCAAAATAAAAGTCCTCTGCTACTTTCATGTGTACTTTAATTATTTGGGGGGACAAATGCACATGTTCTAAATATTGAGGGGGATGTGTCCCCTGTGTCCCCCCCCAAAATCTACACCTCTGATGTAGTGACATCACAACCAGTTTGGAAGCTCCACGATGCATGAGAAAGCACTTTTCAGTGAAGAACGAGACTTCTTGTTTCCAGCAGTTAAACTTTTGAAATGAAAAAGGTTAGTATATTCATACGTTTTGGGTCTTTCAGTGAGCGAGGTGTAGATGTAATTTGAAATGTTTTACTGATATAATTGAACTTTCTATGGAAACACCATATCAGAAGCAAATTATTAGACAAAGCAGGGTATTTTTATGTCTCCAAACATGTCTGGAGGGGCTCTTTAAAGTGACATACAGTATTGTGTATACTGTTACATCTTTTAGGGTAAATTTGACTAAACTTAAAGCTGCATGCAAGGAAGGAAACAGATCCACAAGCTCTTCAAAGGGTAACTGGTATTTTTTAAACCTGGACCCTATTTTCCCATTTTTGTGTCTGAGTGACTAATGGAGACAACGATTTTTGAAACTGGTCCAGTATGGAGCGAGAGGGCTGCAGCCAGAAGTGGTGAAACAGGCGTCATGTATGTCTGTCCACTAAAATGCTTGTTTTTGCCACTGACAGGCTCCGAGTGTTATTTTAAGTCTCTTACAACATTATGGAAATTATCCCTACAGAGACAGACCTTTTCCATCCATGATTTTAGCACGTATGGAGCAGCATATTTTCAATCGAACTGGTGAACTGAGGGTTTATTTCAACCAAACCAGAGTTGGTGACTGTTGTAACAGCGGAAAGACGAACAAAATGTTTTGGTTATTTTTTTACTTTATTTTGTTTCTCTCGACCTTGAATGAAGTGTGTTTGACAATGATCAAATTACTGTTTATTTAAATAGAGTCTGGTGGGTTTGGCAATATAATTTCAGGGCTGTTTTGGTTTAACAAAAAGAATCTCATTCTTTAACAAAAAGAGATCTACAAGAGATCAACAATCTGAGCTTGTCAGCGGCAAAAAACAAGCATTTAATGGATGTTAAGTCACTGTGCTCAATTGTCCATTGTGTTGCATTGCACCCTGCTTTGCAGTTGCCGGCAGCAGTGCTTTTACTGAATCAGTTCCAAAAATTGTTGTTCCCATTAGTCACTTAGACACAAAAACATGGGGAAATTGAGTCCAGATTGAAAAATGCTAGTTACCCTTTAAACTTTCTTTTTGGTATTTGCCCAAGTCAATTGAGGGAGAAACTGATAAGCTCCCTGCTTTACAGGTCATGCTTTTTGAATTATTTAAGAGGGCAGGAAACAGTTGAACCTTTGGGCCTTTGTTGAATTTGCCTGGTGTTTGGTCAACTTATTAGGTAGTTGACATGAAAAAAAAAAAGGTCTTTTGAACATCAATTAATGGTACAGTGAGCTGTGACACTCAATTGGAAATGAAAGCTGAGCGATCTATTTGCTAATTTATCTGAAACATTACTTGAGCTCCCTCTACACGGAACATTTTGTAAAATTGTGTGAAATGATTTCTCACACTGGTCATGTAATGTTAATCAGGATGTAAATGAGTCCTGTGTCTGAAAGGCTATAGCATGAACACTGGGATAACAGCCCTCCAACAGAACTCCAGCTGCTTACATCACAGGCTCCTATAGTGCAGCGGCTGACAGATAAATACTCTGTATCAGTTCTAAAATGTGTCTTCTGCAGTATGGATGGAAAGAACTTTCCAGCAGCTGCCCTTTGAAAATGTCAAATGTGGCTTGCCGTGGCCTGTACACGTCTAATACTTGCATGTTAGTTTAGTTTTATTTGCTAATGAATCACCGTCTGCTGAGAGAGAAACAGAGAAAAGACCAACTTCTGAGTTTATCCACTGAAAGCTCCAAACCCCTAATGTAAGCAGGAGCCAGCTGTGCGCACTTGTAAAGTTGTTATAATCCTCCTTTGACCTATAAACAGGAAAATACATAATATAAAGCATCATGCTCACATCTACAAATAATACACTGTCCATGTTGTCCTTGTAAGGCAATACAGTCCTAAGTGCTTGCCTGCAGCTTCTCAAAAGACAATTAAAACACCACATTTTATTTAGTTCCACTTTGATACAAACAGAGACAACATTTACAACAGGATGCTTTATCAGATGAGCAGAGTCACCATCAGTTTAATATGACTTTTTCTGAGTGGCTTGTCAGTTTTTATATCAATCAGTTTTTTCTGTGTCGTGTGATTGTGTGTTTTTGGTGTTAAAATGGAAGATTTGTCAGGAATTTATTTGGTATACATATCCTAAATCCTGTTGATTCAGGGAACCATCCAGGCCCAAAGTTTCCTCTGATAACTGACAGTGGACTATCAAAGATGGGACAAAATAATAAGAACAGATGGGCTGTGATTAACAAGTATTCTGACCTCTATGAAACTCTGATCATTCTGAATTTGACTTGGTGCTATTGGTGCTAAAATGATGATGGGTGTGGACAAATCAATAATGAGGTGAGTTGTTGAACTGGGTGGTGTTTGGTATAAACTTTACACAGGTGGTGCTATATATACCACCAGTGTAAAGTTTATACCACCTGTGTATAAACTTTACACAGGTGGTATATATTGTACAGGTGCTTACATAAGCTCAGAGCTGGCCTTACTCACTAAGCAATATCAGCAGTTGCACAGGGTCCCCTAGAAAAGACTTTTTTTAATGAACATGAGACAATAATTAAATAAAAAAAACAAACTTTCTAAACAAACAATTTGTGCTTTTCACTAGAAAAAAAAAGACAAAACAATAAGCTCAGAGACAGGCTGAGTAAGGCATTTACTGTCCCATATAAAATAAGCACTCCAGAATTCTGTTTTTTTTTGTTTGTTTTTTTAAATCACATTTTGTAGTTTTAAAAACAAAATAAATGAACAAGACAAGACTGAAAGTCAACAAAAACTAGGATAACTACCCTCACAAGGTATTCTTTGACCGTTTGCCAGCACTGCAGCCCCTGATTTAATTTTAATAAATGACATTTGCAGGCCGGTGTAAGTGCACCATTTATTGAGTGAGGGGGTAATAGACAAATACTGTATTTACTGTAGTCTGTTTAAAGTTAGTGTTGCCGCTATAGGTCCCATTTTAGTCTTTACAAGCTTATGTACATTATCTGTGCTATTTCAGTGTCATGTGATGATGCAAAATGTTACAATAAGGGCCCCCTCCCCCCCAAACCAAATCCTGTTTAGTGCCCCTGAAAGTCTAGGACAGGCCCTGCATTAGCTTTTTTTTTTTTTAAATTTCCCTACCTCTAATTATTACGAACAATTTCCAAATAATACAGTCTTGTTAATCTATGATCTGCCTTTTCCCCAGAACCAGCATTTATCCAGGGCCCTGAAACCACCAGAGACCTCCTAAGGGAGCCAATCACAAGGAAAAGACCTCTTTTTGTTAATGTATTTATTTTTTAAAGATATTATGATGAGGTAAGCCCAATATAATCCATCCCGTGCTTAAACACAGAACAGATCCATTACATCAAAACAGTGGTAGCCAACCTTTACGGCTTTTAACCCTTAAAATAAGTCAGCTAGAAGCTACACAAGTCCATAACTGCTGACTGCGCTCTGTTGGTTTGGCTTAAAAATGTTCTTGCTTTAAATTTGTCTAACGTGGTGTGTGATGTCATGCTCTGTGGTCTTTTGTATGTGTTATCGACTGTTAGTTAAGTTTTTTGCACAGAGACTGCAACTGAAAATAAGCTTTAATAACAAATGGGAACATCAGAGAAATAAAGTTAGTCATTGTATTTCTATGGGTAACATTTTTGTTAAATATTGCAAACGGTCCCTTTGCGAACAAGATAGAAATAAATAGTGTACATACAACAAATACAGTTATACAGTGATAACAGAGTGCACTGAGACACGAATGATCACTAATAAATATAGAGGATGATATAACTAAATAATAAATGTATAAAGTGCTCTGATAAACTGCTCTGTAAGTAATGGAAACAGGTAGTGTCTTTCGTCATAGTTAAAGTATTAATGAAATTAATTGCCATATTATGTATTTATCTTTTTTTAGTACATACCTAGTGCATTGAACCAGACGAGAAATTTAATTTAATAAAATTTACACTCTAACAGACGAGTTTTACAAAACAAACTTTATCTCAAGGTCCACTTACTTTTCTGTTTTGTTCCAGATCTGTCAGCCACATCTCATGGCTTTCATCAGCAGATAGAGAACTCCAACCGCTGAGATTGTGTCTTGAGGATTGATGGCAGGAATGTGTGGATTTTACAAAAATTGCTGATAAACAGTGTTTTTTTTGTAGATGTAAAATATTTGACTCTAAAGTTACAATATATTAGTGGCTACTAGTTGCATTACTTCCACAGTGAGTTGTGTCATTTTTTTAAAATAAAGACAGAGATACATTTAATGGATAATAATGAATAAAAATATAGGGGAAAAATCTGAAATTTGACATTTTACAAACATTATGGTGCATAATCAACTTACTGATTAATTGATTATCATCGATCAATAATTATAATAATAATAATAATGATGATGATGATAGTAATAGGATGCTGAGGATATCTGCGTTTAAAGCAGCTGTGGAGCTGTAGTAGCTGTAACAGTGTAATTGTGATAATATCTTGTCAGTCATCCATCATTTCCTGCGTCCTCAGATCTCTGAATAAAGTGGGGTGGTTTGGGCCTGACACGAGTTAAAAGAAATTGTTGAAGTTATTTTCCCTTTTATACACTTTGTTTTCATTTGAGCGAGCCCACAGCAACTCCCAGAAAGGACTCGGCAATGTTTGCTTGTTCTCTCTGTGTGAGCAACTCTCAGCGTCAGGGGTGGACGTGATATTTCAAACAGCACATCAGTGCGTTTATGTATTGGGTGCCCGGAAATTTTTCCAAATAAACACAGCTTGATTCAACCTGGGTGGGCAGACTTATCAAGCGACTAATTCTATAAACAGATGAGGGAATAACCCGGCACCTCATTGGTTGTTGGGCCGAGGGGGGGAACATGAGGGAGTTTCAGCGCAATGAAATTTTAATTAATGTGGGTGGGCTGAGAACACCACCGACTGTTTATGATGGACAATTTATTTCCTAGTGCAAAGTCAACATAACACAGCAAACGTACAACAATTATTAACATTTCTGGGGCCCTCATGAGGCTGGGGAGTCAGTCAGTGGTGGAGAGGAGCTCCGGGAGCAGGCTCAACTTTCCCCGGGACACACCACAGCTTCCCCGGCGTCATGACTCTCTACCACGGCCGTCTGCCGTCTCTCGGAGTGCCGTCCTCGGCTCTCAGCCTCTCCGCCCCCCCGCTCATCTACTTGTACGGAGGGGACAGCGGAGGGGTCGTGCCTGCTGCCTTGAGCTTCATGCCGGCCCGCCAGGAGCCTCCGCAGAAGCCGCCCTACAGCTACATCGCGCTCATCGCCATGGCCATCAAGAGCGCACCGGAGCAGCGCGCAACGCTCAGCGGCATCTACCAGTTCATCATGGACCGGTTCCCCTTTTATCACGACAACAAGCAGGGCTGGCAGAACTCCATCCGCCACAACCTCTCCCTGAATGACTGCTTCATAAAAGTGCCCAGAGAGAAGGGCCGGCCCGGCAAAGGCAGCTACTGGACGCTGGACACCAAGTGCCTGGATATGTTTGAGAACGGCAACTACCGTAGGAGGAAGAGGAAGGCGAAGAGCCAGCAGGACGCTCTGGACTCTAAAGCCGGTGGACACAAGCGCATTAAGGGCCCGGGACCATCCAGGGATCCTCAAACCTCTCTGAAACATCAGACTGACCCGGGAATAGCAGCAGTACCGGCGAGACAGGGCGCGGAGAGGATGGAGACACAACCTGACACAAAAGCGGTTCTTGTTGAGTTAAACCACGCTGAACAGTCCCAAAATCCCCTCATACAGAGACCTAAGGTGTCCCCCAACCAAGACACCCTCGCGTCCACCGGGAGAAGGCTTGACACCCCCCAGCCTGAGACTTGTCCAGCTCCGAGGCTCGCTCCGCTGTGGATGGACGGTGTCCCCGGCGTGTCCCTCCGCCGAGAGCCAGAGGAGAGGAGGTCAGCGTTCAGCGGGAGAGAAAAGGAGAGAGGTCCGCTCTGCGCCGTCAGTTGCGCAGGAAACACAAACTTGGCTGCATTTGCGCAGGATAGGCCGAAAGGAAATGTACCGAGCAGGGATAAATCTAAAGGTTTTAGCATCGAGAGTATCTTGTCGAAAAGTGAGGATGAAATGCGCAGCAGCATCTTCGGTTTGTCGGCGGAGACATGCGCAGAGCGCAGGAGTCCCGCGTTCAGTTCGTCTGTGGTCCTCGGTGCCCGACCGCATCAGTTGTACCAGATGGGATTCCCCTTCTGCTCTTACCTGTCACTCACCTACCCCGACAAAGTACTGCATTTTAAATGAGTACAATTATGAAATTAGACTTTTAATGTATTTTACGCACAGATGCGTCGAAATGTAAACTCTGTAATTAGCTTTGCATGATGAGCTACCATGATGCAGCTGATTGTTCTGCTCTTTTCAGGATCTCTGTCATCCTCATCATATACAGTGATGTTCAGACAATGACAAAGAGCAGCACTGAGGCTTTTAGATTCATTTTTACGCATGCGTAAATGTCAGTGGTTATTATTTGTGGTTATTTTCGCCAAGTATTCCCAACCTGTTGCTCCTCAAAGTTTATGGCTGTGCAATTTAACGCTTAATACAACAAAGGGTAAAAGTATATACGGATGTGTCATTGTCATGTGAATATTTAGGGAAAGCTCATATATACTGCATTTCTCTCTTCATTCCTGAGGATGAGTAAATATCCCATAATTCAGAGAAGAATCTTGACTGTCATGGCTGGGCCTGTGTAGCTTACAGTATCTTTGAACTCTGGAAATACCGCACAATATGAGAATAAAGTTTAGTACTCAACCATGTAATCAAATGCTATTTCACACTCCACTCTGCTCTGAATTCCATGTGCAAAATAAAGTTTAGTTTGGTTACAGAGATGGCAGCATGATTTATTTAAAACTGTGAGTCAAAATAGAAACTGTGTTGGAAGTTGCTATTTGACTGAAATGTCCCTTCCTGTGACTAAAAGTTGTTTTTTATATAACAAAAAGACAGAGAACATATGTACTTCTGTATTTTCCTTTCAGTGCTGAGTTATATAGATCATGATGGTCATTAAAGATAGCCAGGCATCAACTGTAGAGGACTGAGCATTGTTCGGTTTTGCTGTCCTGCATCATGGATTTATTTAAAATATGTCATTTATCCAAAGTGACTAGATAAAGATATCAGGAGTAATCCAGGATGTTAACATTCTTTTCTTGCCAGCAGTTGTACTGTAGGTCTATCAACTTAAAACTGATAGTAAAAATCATCATTAAAAAAACAAAGATGAAGATTATAAACAAATTCATTCAACATCAGCTAACATTCAATTTGACTCCAAAAACTGATGATCCTTACAAGATATGGACCAAAAGTTCTGACTGATGATAACTCAACTGTAAAGGAGAATTGCTCTGCATTCTAGTATCAGATGTCACTGACTGAACAATTGATCCTGACCTCATTCTTTATGTGCAGCTCTGCAGTGTCAGTCACTTATAAGGAGATCATATGATGATATGTGAAATAGAAAAAAAAGTCTTTCATCCTTGCGCAGTTTGTGTCATGGCCTCTGTAGTTATTCAGACAGCTCAGTCTAAAACAGGAGAATTATTACTGAACTGAGTTGAATCTTTTACTGGAATCACTGATAGATTTTGTTACTTTGATTTCACAACAACATTCAACACTGTTTTCCTCCAAGTTTGCCTCTTTTTGTGTTGGAATAGCCTCTGAAAAGAAAAGACTTTACTGTATTTAAATCATGATAAAATTGTGAAATGCAAGGCCTTAGGCAGGGGCATAAATACAGACAGTGCAGGCAGTGTGATTGCACTGGGGTCCCTAGGGTGGGGTAGGTCCCTGGCAAAAGATTCAGATTGCCACCTCGACCTACATCTGTGTTCAAAGAACTCACATTAAACTAAAAATGGTGCCATTTGCTATAAGCTATATGCTCTCAAAATGCAAACCCGTATCCATCATGATTTTCTTTTGTCTCTTGTTTTTTCTTTTTTGTAAAATAGTCAGTAGCAATCTATAACAAAATTATGTGCTTATTCTACATGAACTAGAAAAAAAACATGGATGAATTATATGTATCAAAAGCTATTCAATTAAATAAATAATTTGTTATTTTCTTTGATATTTTTGTCATATACCGGTATGCAATAATGATTGCTGGGTAACATGTATGTTGATGTTGCCTAATGTCAAGTCTCTCTTTGATCATGTGACAAGACATTATAATACTGTGGCAATTTTAGGTACGAAATCTGTCAAGACTTAAAAGCTGAGCCCATCTGCAAGTCCAGCGAGCAGTCATGCCAACAGGAGTAAAAGTAAAAAGTAAAAAAAAAGTAGCAAAGCTCCCTAAATTACCTAAATTACATTATGTATATATATATATATATATATATGGATAGATAGATAGATAGATAGATATACTCTGACAAGTATAACACAATAAAAACAGTAACATTAGTTGAATACGCCTGTGATTACTGCTGTTCAATACTTTTTTTTGCCATTTGCTCAGGTACAAGTGTACTGTAATGTGGGTGATCAACTGCAGGTAACTTAGCTATGATAGCTAAAATTAATGAGGGTTTACTGACAACACTAGCACTCGCAAATTGGCCTCTTTTCACCAAAAGTGCAGAACTGCAACACACTGTGACAACTGATCCCGTGGCAATAATAATGGCAATGTGTTAAGTTTATTTATGATTACATTTACTAATGATTATTTTGGACAGGGGTGTGTGGTCACCTGTCACCTGCCAGCATATTTGAATACTGGAGGGGATGTGTCCCCCTCAAGTATATATTATAATTACTGGCTCAGTGATACTTACAGTATAATAATGACATATATTCATTCATTCATTTTCCATAACCACTTATCCTTTAGGGGCTGGAGCCTATCCCAGCTGACATTGGGCAAGAGATGGGGTACACCCTGGACAGGTCGCCAGACTATTGCAGGGCTGACACATGGAGACAGACAGCCATTCACACTCACATTCACACCTACGACCAATTTAGAGTCACCAGTTAACATAACCTGCGTGTCTTTGGACTGTGGGAGGAAGCTGGAGTGCCCAGAGTAGGCCCATGCTGACACGGGGAGAGCATGCGGGCTCCACGCAGGGGTGCTCCCCCACTCCAGGATTCAATCCCCCCACCCCAGGCGCAATGCTCAACAATGCTAACCACTGCATCACCGTGCCCCCTTCTAATAGTGACAATGATAACATTTAAATGTGAGATTCAGGCATTTTCATAAACTGGTTTAATGTCAATCAATTCAACAATAATCAGTCAAATTGTATCACAGGCATCATTCTGTGGCAGACTACACAAATAAATAAAATATTTTGTATACTGGCAATACTGAGTCAGGATCGTTGAGAGTGGCAGCACTCTTTAACATAAGAGCACAGGTGAACAGAACTATTTCATTTCAAGCAATGTTAGTGAATTTGACAAAACAATCTCAACCCAACAGCTTCTTATATGCTTTTGTGAGTATTTAAGCACATGTGATGGTCTTCCTCAGCAGATGGAGTTTAGTCAGTTGTTTCGATGCTGAGCAAACTCTCTCAACTGAGGCAGACCATGAGATGTAGTTCCTTTTTTCCCATCAAACAGCTGTTCCCAAGGTCAAGATTCAGTAAAGTTTAATGTTCTGTGGTTCCCTGACTACTGCTCTGTACCATGGGTCACAAAACACCCTGTACCAAATACTGAGTCACCACAAATAACTCTCCAACTATGTGTACATGGTCTTATTTTGAAAAAAAAAATCATATACAGATACAATCTGATGGCATTGAAAGTCCTAAATGAGCCTCTCTGAGCTCCATCTTGTTGTAGGATGACACCTGCATGAAATCAGAGAGCTCTGCTGACAGCATCATTACAAACAGAGAGCAGCCATGTCTAAATATAGGCCTATAGCTGAGACACACAGCGTCTGAAAAAGCTCGACTGTGCGAGGCCGGAGCTGTGCAAATCAGGAATGTTTGTTGAAATAAATAAACTTCCCCACATTTGAGGAGAGGAACTCACAATCACAAGCATTTCCTGTGTATAGGATTCTTTTGGTCAGATGTGTAAATAAAACATGATGAAAACCTCTGACGGGAAAGAAAGAAGGAGAGGAAAGAAAAGAAGCGAGAAGTAACAGTTTAGCCTGGCACTTTGTCTCTTTGGGATTTGGTTGCATTTCATATTAACACAACTGTAATTGGCTCCTCCAACTCTTCATTCTCCAGTGATCTCCAAAGTCTTCTAAAAGCAACATGAATTAATAAATGCGAGCTATCTGATGGTCTGTGTGAGTGTTTGAACAGTAAAAGATCCTCATGAGAAAGCAGCTCAGACAAAAGGGAAATCCTCTCACTTTTATTTGTTATCTGAGAAAACAAACTGCGCTGATGGGTTGTGGTCGGAGATCTTTAACGTGCATCGAGCATTAGCACCAGGCTGAACCCTCCAGCAGGGACATGGAGGTGATTGTTGGTGCTTTTCCTCTGGGCACACAGCCTGCTGGATAAGGTGGAAGAAACCTCCAGATTCTGGAGTATGCTGAGTTTATTAATCAGACTTAGAAAAACATCTGTTTCTTCTAAATGTAGTTCTTCTTAATCTTTGCCTGTTTGTTTTAAAGGCATCCTCCAATCCAAGTGACATTTTCTTCAGCTGCTATTTGTCCAAAATATATTTACTTTCCAATTTAAAACAGTATTAAAGTCTGTTTAGATGATCATACTCATTTATAAACAATTATTCTTTGTTGTTCAACTTCTTACAGAGGGATGTACTTTCAATTTGAAAGCTCCATCAGATTAAAATATGTTGTTTCATTCTCTTAAATCAGATTTCTTCCATGACTTCAGGATTTCTTTCTTGATTTTTTTGCTTTTGATGTGTACCTCATGTTTAAAGGGACAGTTTACCTCAAATCAAAACTACATATTTTTCCTCACACCTGTAGTGCTATTTCATCAATCATGTTTTTGTGTGAGTTGCCGAGTGTTGGAGATATCAGCCATAGAGATGTCTGCCTTCTCTTGAATATAATGGAACTAGAAGATACTCAGCTTGTCAACAGCAATGTCTACTTCCAGAAATCATGACCTGATTACTCAAGATAATCCACAGACTTTGTTGTGAGCAGTTTCATGTAGGAATTATTTTCTTTCTCCTGAACTACACCTGCCAACCACATCACTGCGCAGAAGAAAGCATTTATCTACTCATGGACGAGAGGCTCGTGCTCGCTACAGCGCAAGGTATAAACATTAATGGCATCCTCCTCACCTGGCCTGTAATGTTAGTTAGCTCAGTGGTGCTAGGTGAGTTAGCAGTGGATGCATGTGTTCTATGCAATAATGTGTTGGCAGGTCTCGGTCTGTTTCAAGACTTTAATCTTTGAGACCACAGTCTGTGTTTGGTTTGAGACCAAAAGTCAGTGCTGTTTTAACGTATCATTATGTAATATACACACGCTTGTCACGTACTGACATCACTCACATGATGTATTTATTCCATGTTACCTTATTGTTACACAACAAATGTATTCATTTTCACCCAGTACATGACTTTCACCCAGGAGATCACAGTTTGTGTCCCGTCGTTAACCAAAAGTCAACATTGTTTTAACGTAATGTTACATAACTTACATATGGTTGTCGCACACCAGTGTTGGGCTTGTTATTCTAAAAATGTTACATATTACTCATTACTCTTTTCAAAAGTAATAAAATTATTTTACTTATTACTCCCTGCCAACAGTAATTTGTTACATTACTATTAATTACTATTAATATTACTTTTACGTTATACCCCGTAAAACTGGTAGTTTCATATCTCCCCC